TGCAAACAATTATTTACATTAAAGTAAAAAAAAATTACAACTCGCAAAAATGATAGGACTTTTTTTGTCACTTCATCGTCGATATTATTATTTTTTTTGTTCACCAATAGCTCATGTCGACCAGTGTTAGGTGCGAATGTCGTGCTTGGAGTTTTATCATCATCATCCACGACTATTACAACTCGCCTCTTGCATCTATTGGCTACCCGGGAATCTAACGATTGATGACTTGGATCCAGGAAATCCTCTATGTGTGACCATATAGTCGATAAGCTTACATTTAGTAGTTTAGTAGAAAAGCGTGACTTTATAAGTTTGAATGAGAAAAATAAGTCATCAGTATGTAGATTCACGGACTGCTCTCGCTACTTGCATCCATTGGCTACGACGATCTTGTGATGTTTTAAGAGCCAAGCTTCGGCTCGACCGGAATGATACCACGGTTTCACAGAAAACCATCGTGAAACAATCCTAGTTTGGGGCAAAGTTTTTTAAAAAAAGAAGAAGAAAAGAAAGATTCAAACAAACCTTCTGCAAGCGTCTTCGGCCTGGGGAAGGCATTTCTAGGCGGAGGCCTAGGATCATCAGACAGTGGTACTACATCAGTACTGCGCGACCGTACGATGGGGGCCGCCACGGACGACAGGACGCGGCGCGGGGGCGGCAGCGGAGCCCCGCGGACTGAGGCACGGAGCTGCGGTTGGGATGCTGATATTACTGCGCGAGACAGTTCCGAAATACGCGGTGACTCTGGCTCCCCTGACCAGTTTACGCTGAAAAAATAGGAATATAGTAAAGAATGGGGATGCTTTGTTAGTCGAAGCATAGTTTAAGAGTAACGATACAAAATATTGTATCCGAAGAAAAATGTATGTTATATTTCTCGCAAAAACGCCTCGACCGAGACCAGCTTTCCTCGCAGTCTTTTTAAATAATCTAAGAAAATACATCTATACTAATATTATAGTTTGTATGTAGGGGCTAATCTTTGAAACCGCTGGTCGGATTGCTAGAATCCTTTCACTGATAGATAGCTACATTGTTCCTGAGTGCTATAGGCTATAAAAAATCACGCTACGATCAAATGGAGACGAGTAGCGGGTGAAACAGCGTGAGAGCAGCTAGTAATATATAACTCGGAAAAAGTCACATTGGTACTAGCCAGATTTCGAGCCCTCACACATGACAAGTTTTACATTATCACCGGACTACCACGACGTTTTTAACTTATACAAACATGAAAACTTACTTGTCACCCCCCAATATGAACTGCACCTGCTCCTTGTTCCTATCATCAGTGGGCGTCTTCCGAAGGTCGTTGTAAGACGTTCGAGCTCTGAAGTCTTCGATGGCGGCCCGCTTCTCTTCTGCGCGACGCTCTATGCGCTCGTCCTGTCGACGCTCGCGAGCTTCTTGCGCTAAACGCTCTTCTAGTTGTAACCTGGAAATACATAAATGTTTCTTTATCACTACCTAGTATAAAACAAAGTCGCTTTTTCTATTCCTATGCATGGTTAAATCTTTAAAATTATGCAATGTGGATGCGGATTCGATGCAGTTTTTTTAGTAAATAAGAGTGATTGAAGTGGAAGTTTTATGTGTATTATAAAATCCATTAAATAGTGGAGAAATTTAGTATCAGCACTCGTGCGAAACTGGGGCGGGTCGCTAGTATTATAGACCCTTTAAAAAGCCACAATCAAGATTAGACCTACATATATAGATTATATGTTAATTAAACCTTGTAAACAATTCTCCTCAAATAACTAAAGGCTGACAACACATAAGTAACTTCTTTGGTCTTACAAGTGTCAAAGGACGATTTTTTTGCGCGGGTAAAATCATCAAAAATGTCTTCTCTCGCCTAGGATAAGTGAGTATCTAGATTCTTAAAAACTAAATCTTATTGCACTTGCCCCGCAACCCCGGCTGAACATCGGTCCTATAGGGCCCCGTCTGTGGGATTGACTCTTCGAGGTGCGCGTGATATTTACCTACTCCCATTAAATAGAAATGTAAGTAATATATCTATATAATATACCTTTAAACATAACTTACCGAGCCTCAGCAAGTCTCAGGTCTAACGGATAATGTGGGGCATCCGCTTCGCTGCCTGAAGAATCTTCCCGCCACACGAAATTATCAGCAACTGTAAGTAAGTAAAACGCAGTCAAACCAAAATCACATACAAAATAAACAATTCAAGCAAATATTCCCCAGTCGCCATTTTTGTTAAATCTATTCATTTAACTTTATGTCATGTTAAAAAGCTCAATCATATCCAAAGCATGTATGAAATAATATAAAGAAGTAATAAATTCTATATAACAAAGCATAAATTGATACAATATCTTACCTGCAAGTGCCAAACAATCTAAATGTTGCCATAAAACACTGATAAAGCATAACTAATATATTCTATACTGAAAAATCCTTGCAACACTGATGGAAGCCGGGAAGGGTATGGCGGCAAAATAAAACAAAATCACAATCGTCAAAAGCTTTCAAACGTGCATTGAGTATCATGTCATCCGTTCAAAATCGACTAAATATACCAAGCTGGGGTATTTACAAGCAGTATTACTAAGCCAATTACAAATTAAAATAATTTGATATATTTATGCCACATATAAGTATTTAATTTATAATGCATTCTTGTTTATAACTATTTAGCGTCATTTCAACTTGCGTGCGGAAAAAAATCTTCAAGCTTAAGTACCATGTAATCGTATGATATTAGTTTACAACATGCAAAGGGAAAGAAAAGTGAAAGAAAACCCACACCGACAGTATTAAAATTATGTACAAAAATAACATATATTACTTCATACATGCTTTGCTTAACTGGGTAACTAATTAACACTAGTAAATACCTTAATTATCTTCACACTGAAAGCTTCCTACCGATTGTGACGAACAAAACTTTCTCAAAACACAATTTATTTAATCAAATACATACATAAAAATTGTTACTTAGAATCTAATAATAATAAATTACATTGTCTTTCAAACTTATCATTAATGTCACCGTTATATTTAAGATCTAAATCAGGAACTCGATTAACAATTTGATTGTATATCGATTATTTGTATAAACTCGATGGAAGATTGCACTAGTTATTATGATTATAAAAAAGTGTTGTCATATGAAAAATATTTCGAAAGCTAACCAAACTGTCTACAGTAAACCATTCGATGGGTAAAATCGATGCTCAATGTATTTATAAATAAAATAATATAAGATTACATAATAATTAATTTAAGTAAATTACAAAAATGTTATATTAATGACGTATCAAAATCGACTAAAATATCCATATCGATATATTAATCGTTTTGTTTAAGTACAACACTAACTAGATTTCGCCTAAAGTATTTTGAGCACAGATTAAACAGGAAAATTTTGCTTTTATTTTAATGGTAACATTTTATCACTTCACAAGCAAAGCAAGAGTTTTTTTCTTGTTTTACTAGTTAATTATCACATCGATTTAAAATGGGAACATTAGTTATGATAAAATTCGTTTATTAAGAGATTAAAACAGCAAAAGCTCAAAATTTATTAACATTTATAGGTTAAAATATAATTTATTAATAATTTTAACGGTTAATAATATATCATTTAACAATCCGAATTAAACATAATATTAAAATGACATAAATAAGTGGTTAAAGATTTCTGTATTTTATTTAATCAAATAAATGCTTTTAAAATATAAAAAGAAGCATAAAATATAGTTAAAGATGGCTGCCGTTAAAGCCGACGAATAAAATAATATTTACACTATTTAAACATGGCTCTCACAAGTAACTGCCGCGTTTGTAGTAGTGTAGAACTACTAGAAGTTGCAAACGGATTCATACGAGGACATTGCTGTCTTTTTCTAGCAAGGTAATGTGTGACAAGGACACAATTCCTTACGCTTCCGTTTTTATGATAATCATATTAAGTTACGAAAATGTTCTTAGTTATAGTTTATTGGTATACATCGCGTTTAGAAACTTGATTGTTCAATAATATTTTTTCTGGCTCAGTGATCGCTGAATCCTACGTATGTACTAAACATTTCTGCGTGGTCATCAGATATTAGATTGTCCTTGATGGTTTAAAATAATGTTTCTGGTAATATTATCCTGCTTTCGAGACACAATAGTATTAGCATACATATAGTATTTTTGCTCATTTCGTTATAAGGTACAATAAAATTGTTTTTAAAGTGCTTTTAGTCTGTGCATGAAAGATAGGTTGCATGACATTTAGCAATTTTAGAGTATCGTAGTAAGTCGATTTTTTTAGTCGATTATTATAAATCAATGAATGGTTTCTAAATAATATGTCATGCAAACTATCGTAGCATGTTCAGAGTAAATAATGGAACAAAATCTCATTTGAGATGTGGTATAGTTTGTGAGTGTTTATATTGGCTCCAGTTCTAAAAAAAAACTACATGAAAAACATTGCAGCAAATGCTTTTACTGTTAAATGCAAAACAAAAAAGTTGACAGACAAAAAGTAATATTTTGTAAGTCTGTGCTTATTGTTACATCATATTTTTTAGGTCTTAAGAAGGGCCAAAGAGACCCTTGAAGTACTTTTTACTTGTTTCAAATGTACATATTGGGTATGATGAGTACTTCAACAAGATTTTGTCTCAATGGCGCTACTTAATTAGCACAAAAACAACCTAATTATTTAAATTCTATCGTTCAATTTTCATAATAAGCCTCTTAATTTTATGACAAGCTATTTTTGTATAAACTAACGGCTATTTTGAAAATCCAGCGAAAGGAAGTAAAAAAAATATTGAAACAGATGCATTCATAGTGTTGTACTTTTGAAAAAAATACTAAGACAAATAATATTTTATATGTTTGCAACACAGAGCGATGAAAACTATTCTACTAAAAAAGTTACCAAAAATATAAAAAAAAACAATTACATTATAAAAACTTCTTAATTCATTGTCACCTTTATAAGGAAAAGCTTCAACAAATGGGCCTACTTAGTTTTTCAGTACATAAAAATTCTTACTTTCGTCCAAAAGTCGTTATTCAAGCAAATTTGAACTCTAAACAAGCATAAATACGGCGAAGCTTAACATACAACACCAGCAGAATAAATTGCTTTACAACTTAAGCATTAGAGTTCAAAATCGTTTGAATAAACGGACAATGTTGTTGTAATCAAACAGTATGAATGCAACTACTTTTCTACAATGGGTTCACTCGATGTGTTCGTGGAATAGAGACATTTCATCATAGTTCTTACCTGAGCCACATATTGATGCATCATCACCGATGCTCAGGTCATCTTGGGAACTGCTGATGCGACCTGGAAGAATGTTTAGGAAAAATGTAGTACACGAGTATTTAAAGTAATGTGTTTCAGCCTTCTTTCAGCGTTAGTATGTAAGATGTTCTTGAGAAAAAGGCCTAATTAGCAGTCGATTTATTATAATCCTTTTAACAAGCTAACCACATTTTTGTCATATTCGGATTAATTCCACTTCAAAAATCTTCCGCAATTTTACCCTAGTGCTGGCCCACTTGGTTTGTTGGCTAATCCAACTATTTGTCTGCGCGGTTAGCGCGGTGGCTGGGCAACTAGCTACCGCGCAACGTGTCACAATTTTGATTCTCGCACGGAATAACTCTTGTGCGGTCCACAAAAGTTCACAAACATTGTTCTGTGATTGGGTTTGATATGTATGTGAAATTGTATGTTTGTTAACCCTTTAACCGCCTACGTCGGACTAATCCGACAAATATTTTCGGGCCCATTTCGCCAGAGTCGTATATTTACGACCAAAATATCACTGCTCGTTTAATCAGCTCTATTATATAAATACGTTGTATTCTATCAAAAATGTGTTTATATTAGGTAAATGGTTAACTAAGTAATCATTTACAGTTTAATACACTTTAGTCTCTTAATTAAATCCTAAAAATAATGTCTAAAGTTAGATAAATAACTAACATTATTTTTCGAAAATTGTATTGATGTGCAACGCCCATGACGACAAAATCCGACTTGAGGGACGGGACACATGCCAAAATTTACCGATACAAAAATAAACATAAATTAAAATATGTCTCGTTATACTGACTAGTAAACTTTAAAACGAACACAGCAATTGTTAATTAAACATTTTTTTACAAATATTTGGGAGAATTTCATTTAATTCCTATAAAATTAAGTAAAATTACTAATGAAATGTCAGCGATTGAATTGATGGTTCCCATCTCTAGCCTACATGTTCCGAAACTTACTTTGTTAGTACGCCCTGCCCTACGGTCGGATAAACACGACCGCTTCTTACGTCATAAACGAGTGCATACGGCTTAATAGTGTTGTGTTTTTGCATGAAGTTTTACGTTAGTATGTCGATAAATGTACGTGATAGAAAGGATACATTAACACAAGACATTTTGAATTTGAAAAATAAAGCTAAATTTAAAACAAATTGTTATATTGCGGGGTTTATCCAAAAAAAAAATACTTGCTTTAATATTATTTGGGGTTATTTTAACTGTCAAAACAATTTCGTTTTGAAAATAATTCAGGTTTACATTTTTATTCTGAAGCTAGATTTAACAGAACATGCATTCAAATTCAGCTAGCACTAAATTATCTTACAAATACAACACTTGTAACAACATAATAATTTAAGTTGCTCTTGGACAAGTTCACTTCGGAATAACCAGAAAAAAAATAGGGAAAAAAGGTACGTAATAAAAAAGCGAATTTAACTAAAAAACATTTGTTTACTTTTCGTCATAGCGAATCCTTTGTTGCAGCCCGTAGGTACCTAAATGTCAGTGTGACGTAAACGACGTGAGGTGCAAATATAGATTGGTGAGATCGTAAACGTAGTGGTTACATACTCTTCGGGTGAGATGTAAGTAGTTGTTAGTTAAAAATGCTCGCAAATGCAATGTCGTTATTAAAACGAAATATAAAGTTAAGTATTGCACATCCCTCTTTCTTTTAGGTATTTAATTTTCGATTCACTGTGCCGGGCGCTAGGGACACGCCAACTGTTCTGAAGTCGGGCGCTTAAAAGGTTAAAGCACCCACGACATAGGAGAATATCCTATTGTGGGGCAACATTAGAAATAAGTATTAGGTTGCGACATATATAAAAATACTAGTTTCCGCCCGCGGCCACAACCTTTATGTGGTATGTTGATAAAAATATGTCTATGTGCCAAATTTCATCCAGATCTGTCCAACCGTTTTTGCGTGAGTGAGTTACAAACATCGTAACTTTCACATTTATATTATTAGTAAGACGTCTTACCTCGTCCTGTAGGTCGGCCATTAGCATTCCTGTAGAGCGCTGTCTCCAAATACTGCAGTCCGTTGTTGTTTATTATGTTAAACCCACACATGCGCTCGATCTGCTTCCATCTGTGCATGCGCTCCTAGAAATTATAACAACAAATCATTATCTACACAGTACCCTAAAATTTTACGTTGTTATTCAGTTGGCAATGCAGAAAAAAGAAAAAAGGAGATAACACTTGGGGAGGCATCGTTTCTTTAAAAAAAAACAAAATAGGAGTATCAAAGTGTGGGAGAGCCAAGCTTCTAAGAATAGGTCGGCTCGACTGGAGTGATACCAGGGCCTCCCAGAAAACCGGCGTGAAACAACTAATCTATTGTGTTTCACCGTGTCAGTGATGTTACGAGGGGTCCAATCCTTCCTTCTTCTCAATCCTTAAAGATCCCTTATTTAAAATCCATATGCCCGTGTCCCATACACGCATAAAAAAACGCGTATGATGTTTACCTTCACCCTATGTCAGTAGTGCCTAAATAATCATAAAAAGTGCCTACATATAACTCGGAAAAAGTCGCATGGGTGCTTGCCAGGTAGGCGAGGTTGCGGGGTAAGCGCAATGAAGCACGGCAGCCTCGGCCCAGAGCAAGAGAAGGAAAGTAGTAGTAAGAGTCTGACACTACCTCCCGCCCTACCCTGGGCGGTAGAAGTCATTTGATGATTTTCCCCACACGAAAAAAAATCTGCAGGTTTCGAACCCTGAGAGAAGTGGCCCCCCTTGACCTCCAGGCCACCACGGCGTAAAGTATGTTCATTTACCTGTAATTCCTGAGTGACCTCGTTCAGCGCAGTACGTGCCTCTACGATAGACCGGTCGACATCATCGATGGACTTGCCATGGGTCGACACAAACGCTCCAACCAAACTAGAACGTTTCTTCCTTAATTTCTCACACTAGAACAATAAATACATCACAAGTTAGTAGCAGTACCAATTATTATGTCAAAATCTGAACAGTAAATCTATTGATATGTTCTTTCTATTCACGGGACTACAGGGCTCCGGACCTTTGGAAGGCGTACGAGAGGCCGAAGCCAACTCGCAGAGGCCCGTTGAATTGCTTTAAACTAAATGTGATGGGACATCAGCCGGCAATAATCCCAGTATGCACTATAAAAGAAGTAAATCCAAGGACAGTCCCCGGTTAATGCAAATTATTATAAATGATGGATTACATTTTAAGGCCAAAAATAGGCATTTTTCTTTTAAAATAAATAGACTTCTTGACTAGTTTCAGTGAAAAGAAGCGTCCAAACAAACTTCAAGTAACAGTATCTTAATATTTCTTTGTTTATCATCATCATCAACCCGTTTCTAGCCACTGCTGGACATAGGCCTCTTTAATTATACGCTGCTGAGCTCAAAGTTAACGTCTTCTCATCGAACCACTGCCAGCCACCTTATAGATATCGTCGGTCCATCTGGCTAAAAATCGCCCTGGTCTACATTTGCCTAGACGCGGTCTCCAATCCAGAACAAGATCTTTTGAAAATACGAAATACGAAACTAAAGGAGTATATTAATTCATCAAATCCTAAACGAGCGTGTTCCCGCACCTATTGTTCTTTTTGATAGGTTAAGTCTATCTGCGGCATCCAAGGGGTAGATATAGATGTATAGATACAACGCAACATTTATTTTTAATCAGTTACTCAACTCCACTGTATTTAAAACAAAAGTGTAAAAAAAGCGAGATCAGCATTCGATTTTATGAACAGTCTACCAACGAAACTTAGATATTATTACGTTAATATCGTCATATTATGCGTACCAGCAGTTCATCAGCAGAGTGAGAACTGGTTATTACATTATTATGACATTATTCACCGGTCGACCGTGAATTTTCTTGGCACAAAACAAACTTCAAAGAACACAATATTTTAAAGTATTTTTTTGTTACAGTAAGTAAGTGTGGAATGATCTTGCTCCAGTACTAAAGAGCCGGAGGACTGGCTTGCTCTACTAGCTTAACACCACGGCCTCACAAAAAAACAGGGTAAAACAATCAAAGGGTTGATTCACCGTGTGATATATGTTATCGAAGGCCCAAGCGTCTCCACCTTCTTAACTCCTCAAATCTTCAATCCTTAAACCTCTAGTAACTCTGGGTTAACGTAGATTGTGTACTATCACACGGCGAAACACATTGATGTTGTGTTTTGCCGTGTGAGTGAGGTTACCGGAGGCCCTATTCTTCCCCCCTCATTTTAATCCGTAAAAAATCAGATGATTCTGACTGATGATGATGACCTTGGATGTTTAGAAATATCTGTATGTGGTCTAATTGTAATAAATGCTATGCTTTGTATTTATGCGCAAAACTTACTGCTTCTCTCGCTTGCTGCAACTGCATGTCTGCCTGCTGCTTCTTGCGGAGGTACGCCCTGTTCTCGACTTCATGTGTCAACTGCAGCCACTGCTGGAGACCAGGAGGAGGCGCCCAGCATCTGTCTTCCAACTCACCCTCAGCTCGACGAAGCTCAGCGCGTAACATCTAGAAGAAATAACCAAAATATTAAGACGTTTATTCTACGGGTGCACCATGTATTGGGGACCGTCCTGTCTCGGATGGAACAGGAACGAGATGGTTTTTAGTCAGTAACACTTAAACACCCCATCCAACAAGTTATAAGAAGATTTCTCCCAGTTGGCAGCGCCAACTCACCGCGACGAATCAAATTAAAATTTAATTAAAATCAAATTAAAATAATGATAGTCTACAAGTTGAACTCATTATTGTAAGAGCTAGAGATGCCCTAAAATTTGCAACGCCTGGAAAGGGCCGTTAAGCTGTGCCTTTTATTTTAATTTAAGATCATTGTACCTTAACATTCAAATAAAGAATTTGACGTTGCTACTCATGAATATTTTGAAAGATGCACTTTGATATCTACTTTGTGCTTCAAGTTTTCTTTGGTCCACTCTGACGTGGAAAAGTCATGTTTGTTTGTTCAGGCTCAAACGGAGTGATACCACGACCTTACAGGAAACCGGTGTAATACAACGCTTGCATTATGTTTGACAGTATAAGTGAGAGCCGTATAACCAGAGGTCTATTTTCCCACACATCGCCAACTTCCAAATTGCTAATCCCTAAAGGCAGGCAAAGCAAATTCCCTTTAATTATAATATGGGCAACGCAGATCGTTTACCAAGAGATGATTTATCTGCTCATTTGCCATGACACACTATAAAAAATAATTAATTCTTCCTTTACCTCGATCTCGGCCTTCAATTGCGTGACTTCAAGGTCAGATGACGCCGAATTCAGAAGAGGAGTGTCGCCCGCTTCCCTCAGTTTCTTTTCCAAATTCTTTTTTTCTGTGGTCACATTTTCCTGGAATAAAAGAATCGATATTAGGTTTTTGTTTTCTGTATTTTCCTTCTGCTAATAAGATGAAAGAAAGATGTATGGCCGTCTGATATTATCATAATTGGACAGTTGCTATATTACGACCTTTTTTCCTATGTACTTATAGGTAACGAATTTTCAGAAATCATGCGTGGCAATAACGAACGAACAAAAACCAAGAAATGCGAATAATAAAAATGAATGATATAAGTAGGCGAGCCATTTAAATCGTTCAGATAGTAAATGAGCACTTTAATGAAAAGCAGGTCATCTGGTGTTACCGATCCAACTTTGATTTTGGACTATTCTTTTTTAACTCAATTTAAATCTTTCAGAAACGTGCACGGGATACATTTTCGATTATGTTATATAACCTACCTACTTTTATTTATGTATAAAACTACATAGCACCATCATTACAGGAATTCAAACCCAACACACCAGCGCATGTAAATATAGATTAAAATTGCTTGTTTATAAATATATAAACAAGCTGAGTTCCTCATTTGTATAGTTTCTATTTTATTTTAATATTTTATTTTATTGGGCTAATTAAATATATGTGTATTTGTTGTAAAAGTTTTCCTTAATATTATTTAGATTATGAATACGTGCCTTATATACTAATAAACTATTCGCGCTTGGTTTTGTTATAATACTACGACATTCCTTAATATTCTAAGTGTGGGAGAGCCATGTTTATGGGTCGGCTCGACCGGAGTGATACCACGGCCTCTCAGAAAACCGGCATGAAATAAACACAGCGTTGTGTTTTGCCGTGTGAGTGAGGTTACCGGAGGCCCAATACTTTCCCTCCCCCAATCCCTCCTCAATCCCTAAATCTCCAAATCCCTAATCCCTTAAAGGTCGGCAACGCACTCGTAACTCCTTCGTTGCGGGTGTTCATGGGCGTCGCTGATTGCTTACCATCAGGTAATCCGTCTGCTCGTTTGCCGACCTATTACATAAAAAAACTATATAAATAAGTATAAAGTGACTGAGATTTTAATAAGAAATTACTCTTCATCATCAAGAGTTTTTGGGGGGAATATCAAATAAAAGGTAAATCATTACTTCTCTCGCCCTGTGAGGAAAGACAGTTTAATTTAGAAGATTAGGAGTGATAAATCTATTCTATTAAGCAGTTACCAGTCAGTGTATTATTGAAATAAAACAAAGGAAATTCGTTTGTTGCTATGTGAAATATTTATAGACAGATGAAAAAAAACTTGAATTACGTCACAGCGCAAAAGGCAAGTGCTCAGCTTAATGGCATAGGGCCTGGATACGGCAGCTTGAATCCATAGCACTGATGTTTAACACAAGCCGGTGTATATTTTACATATTATTAGATAGATTAAACAGGCAATGTACGAAGCACAATATGGAGAAAAAAATATTTTATTCCACTCTTAACACTAAATTGACAAACTGACCTGTTCAAGACGAGCTTTCTCGAGTTCCTTCTGCATATCATTCAGGGCCATCTCGGCCTTGCGCAGCTGTTCCATATCGCGAAGCATGCGCTGGACCTGGTGACGGCTGGCGCGACCAGCGCGCAGAGCCGCCCACCCACCGACCACCGCACCGAGCAGCAACGACGCGAGGAGCCAGTCTTTCCATCTACTGCCTTCTGGAAATACCACATGGGACTTAGGCGAAGTTACAAATGAGCACATAAATCAATGAATTTTCGACTTAAATTTAAAGTAATAGAATAGAAAATCAATTGAACATATTCTGGGTGTTTAGTGTGTTATATAGGTAAAGTACATGATATGTATACAAATTTAACTAAAATGGGTTGCAGGTAATGCGTCACGGGATCCTGTTTCTGAGCAGAGGAAGTAATGAGTTGTTCATTCTATGATTTGTCCCGAAATCATAAGATGATTTTCAAACTTTCGACACTAGTGGGTCAGCTCGACCGGGTTGATGATACCACAGCCACATTAAACAACCACAGCGTTGTGTTTCGCCGTGTGAGAGAGGTTACCAGAGGCCCCTTTCCCAACCCCTATATCTTCGAAACCCTAATCCCCAAACGGCTGGCAACGTAGGCGGCGCCAATTGCTAACTATCAGTTAATCCAGTTGCTCGTATGCCTATCACATAAAAAACAATCATGAAAAATATACAGAATCAAAGTGCAGGTCGATAAATGAAAGAGTTGCGCTAGAATCGTACTATTTGACATTCTAAGATCCAAAGATATAATATGTTAAACGACGATACGATCAAAACTATTGCACCTTTTGTAGACTGATACCTCGTCAATATTCTATTACTAGCTTTTGCCCGCGACTTCGTTCGCGTGTAATAGTGACTTCCGGCAGGTTATTGGTTTAAAAACTATACCTATTGTCTGTACCAAATATCACAGAAATCAGTCCAGTAGTTTAGGCGTGAAGAAAAGACAGACAGACAGAGTTACTTTCGCATTTCATCATCATCATCATCATCATCATCAGCCCTTTTCAGTCCACTGCTGGACATAGGCCTCTCCTATTGCACGCCACTGGGATCGATCTTCGGCCACTCGCATCCAGCTCCTGCCAGCCATCTTGCGCAAATCATCACTCCACCTTGCCTGAGGACGTCCTACATTACGTTTGCCGAGACGCGGTCTCCACTCAAGAACTCGTCTACTCCAACGGTCATCGGTTCTTCGGCTAATATGGCCAGCCCACTGCCATTTCAGCTTGCTAATCCGGTGGGCTATGTCGATTACCTTGGTTCTCTGCCGGATCACCTCGTTTCTGATTCGATCTCGCAGAGAAACGCCGAGCATAGCCCTCTCCATAGCTCGCTGAGTGACTTTTAGCTTGTGAACCAGCCGCACCGTCAGTGTCCACGTTTCGGCTCCGTATGTCATGACAGGTAGGACGCACTGATTGAAGACTTTCGTCTTTAGGCACTGTGGGATCGACGACGTGAAGACTTGACGCAGCTTTCCATATGCTGCCCAACCTAGCTGAATTCTTCTATTCACCTCGTTCTCGAAGTTGTTTCTACCCATCTGCAATGTCTGCCCGAGGTATACATATTTTTGAACGACTTCGAGAACAGCGCCGTGTACTGCAATCGGTTCCGGTAGTACATGTTCATTGAACATGACCTTGGTTTTATCCAAGTTCATCCGTAGGCCGATGCGTATAGAAGAGTCAGCCAGGTCATTCAGCATCCGTTGTAGGTCCTGCAGCGTTTCTGCTACGATGACGATGTCGTCTGCAAATCGCAAGTGAGAGATGTACTCGCCATTTATGTTGATGCCGCGTCCTTTCCAGTTCAGCGTCTTGAACATATCCTCCATTGCATTTGTGAACAATTTCGGGGAGATAACATCCCCTTGTCTCACACCTCGATGCAACGGTATCGGCCTTGTTTGCTGATCCTGTACTTGGACGGACATGGTGGCGGCCTCGTAGAGACATCTCATCACTTGGATGTATCGCCAATCTACTTGGCATCGCTGCAGGGACTCCAGAACAGCCCATATTTCGACCGAGTCAAAGGCTTTCTCATAGTCCACAAATGCTAGGCACAGGGGCTGATTATACTCCTCAGTCTTCTGTATAATCTGCCGCACTGTGTGGATGTGGTCTATGGTGCCGTATCCGCTCCGAAACCCAGCCTGCTCCGGTGGTTGGAATTCGTCAAGTCTTCGCGCAAGGCGGTTCGTGATCACTCTCGAGAACAGCTTATAGACGTGGCTTAGAAGGGAAATGGGTCGATAATTCTTCAGTAGGGTTTTGTCACCCTTTTTGAAGAATAAGACGACCACACTCCGACTCCACGCCTCTGGAGTTCTCCCTTCAAACAGGACAGCGTTAAATAGCTTTTGCAGCTCCCTGAGTACCGGTTTGCTGCCTGCTTTTAGAAGCTCTGTCGTAACGCCATCCTCTCCAGGGGCTTTTCCATTTTTAAGCTGTCCAAGAGCGATCTCGATTTCGTCAATGCTGACTTCTGGCAGGTCTTCGGTGTAATGGCGTATTGAAGTGGCTCTAGAGTCCTCATTTCCGGGGTCAGGTCGAGATGCATGCGAAGCGTATAACCGGCCGTAGAAGTTTTCTACTTCCGAAAGAACTGCCGGCTTCGAGACAACGACTTCTCCACTTGCTGTGGTCAACTTCGTCAGGTGGCTTCTTCCAAGAGATTGTACGAACACTTTTGGCCCCCGGTTTTGCTCGATCGCTCTCTCGATTGCAAGGGTATTCGAGCACCGGAGATCGTGTCGCACGTGTTTGCTAATCTCTCGGTTTAGAGCCCGCTTTTCTGACGAAGTGACGGGTGGGTTTTCACGTCGTCTCTTCATAAGCCCTAAAGTCTCTTCCGAAAGCTTCGACTTCTTGCCCTTACGCTGCATTTCACAAAATCTCGTACCTTCTTCCCTGAGAACTCGAACCACGTTTTCAAGGTTCCGGTTAACGTCGGTTGTGGTTTCCAGGGCAGCAAATCGGTTCTCCAGGTTTAACTGAAACGCTTCAGATCCCATTTTGATTTGAAACAGGGTTGGTCGGAGCCTGGCCTTCATCAAGCGGACTCGTTCGGCTCTGAAGTCGATATTCAGAGAGCCTCGGACGAGTCGGTGATCGCTACCGGTATTAAACCTATTAATCACGGAGACGTCTCTGAATATGTGCCTTTTGTCCGCCATGATGAAGTCGATCTCGTTCTTTGTCATAGTGTCGGGGCTTTGCCACGTCCACTTCCTTTGGGGCTGCTTCTTAAAGAATGAATTCATTAAGAACATCCCCTCCCGTTCGAGGAAATTGACGAGCATTTGCCCCCTATGATTCCTGTTTCCATACCCATGGGATCCTACTACCGATTCACTGCAATTTTGTACTCCCACTTTGGCGTTAAAGTCCCCCATAACAATGTTGAAGTGAGTCCTAGTGGTGGAGTGGAGGGCCCTCGATATATCATCGAACATCTCCTCCACCTCATCATCGGAGTGTGCCGAGGTCGGTGCGTACACTTGGACCACCTTAAGGCTATACCTCTCGGTGAGCTTTATAATGAGGTACGCCACCCTGTTCGACACACTCGACATTTCCACAACATTGTTAGATAGGGACTTGTTAACCAGAAACCCAACGCCACCTTGGGATTTTTGGTCTCCCTCACGGAAGTACATCAGGTGGCCTGATTTGAGAGTTATCGTGTCCTCCCCCTCTCTTCGGACTTCACATAACCCTAGTATGTGCCACCTGATCTTCCCAAGTTCCACCTCTAGTTGCGCTAGATGCGAGTCAAGCCGTAGCGTGCGTCCGTTGTACGTCGCCAGGGTCAGTCTGTTGTGGTGGCCTCCCGTAGCCCGGAGATTCTTAGCACCCCCTACCCCACCGTTACCATGGTCGCCACCATGACCAGGAATAGTGGGGCTGCCGGGAACTGGGGGCCGTGGCCTTCGTTTTTTGCCCATAGGAGGTATTGCCCATAATCGCCACGCTGGGCAGGCGGGTTGGCGATCGCAGGGCGAAACTTTTCGCACCGGTAACGCTGCTGCCCGTCACCGGCCTGCGGTACTTAATTTCGCCTGTTTGTAAGGGACGGATATACCGCCGTCGGTCGGTCGCCAGAGCCTCGTTCGTTGACCAGCAGGATGCACCGCGTGCAGGTGAGGTTGGCTTGGGGCGAAAGATGGAAGTTCGCCCCCTTACACCCCTTTCGCATTTATAATATTAGTTTGGATCACAGAACAGAAAATTAAGTAGAAGTGCCCCTACACTCTTTCAAAAGGAAAACCAGTGTCGCCAAAATCACACATTCGCAAATCAAATTGTCCATTACACACATAAAAAACAGCTATATAATTGGGTAAAAAGATGAAACGCAACTTTAGCAAATCATCTTTTAAATGTTGTTAAAAATTGAGTCTTATAACAATGAGCGAAAGTTGTTATCATTTCACATGTCACAATCAATAAAGGCGCCTATCGTGTAAAAAACTTAAATAAAACAATTTACAAACGGGTTCAGCCACTCAACGCTAGATGGCGCTGTAACAAATTCATTCTATTCAAAACGCTAATTTCTTTGAAATAGATGTCATATTTGTATGCACTTGTACCAATAGACATTTACTATTTTGCTACTCAGATAGGGCAGGGTATCCCAATATATCAATGTTTTTGTATTCGTGTGAGCAATATAATTTATCGACACGATATACCTACAAATGATCAGTAATGAAAAAGGTTCTAATAGAAAAAAAGAAAAATATTAACATATTTTTTGAAGATTTAATGTTTTTTGGAGATGGTCAAGTTATTATTAAAGATTTCGATTTTAACATATAAAAGCACTACGCGCTCCTACAAGTTTTATCTCCTTTCCATAAATAACGGAGACGAAAAAACAAAAAAAATGTTACAGTCGAATTGAGAGTCACTCTCCTTTTTGGAACTCTGATAAAAATCATGTACAACATCTATACTTATAATAAATCTGTAGAGGGGTCAATTCTGTACATTAAATATATTTTGTGTGATCGATACTGATGCCAAAAATGCAATCAGTAAAAATTTTGTCTCTGTCTGTATGTTCTTTATAGAAACAAAAACTACTCGACGGATTTTAACAAAACTTGGTACAATTATTCTTTATACTCCTGGGCAGGTTATA